AGTTGTTGTTTTCATGTAGTCTGATATTTTAGTTTCCTCACAATTTGCATGTCTTGTGGGTCCAGTAATTTTTTTAAAGTTTCATATGTTGGCAAATCAAAATTTTTCACAGCTGCTCCTCTTTATTAAAAAAATCAAACAAATGTCTACCCACCCCAAAAAGCCAATTCCCAAAAAAATCCCAAACCTAAACCAAAAACAACAAAGCACAAGAAATTTTGAGATTAGTAATTCCCTGTCATTCTGAGCAAAGATAACTGATGCTGAAAAATAATATAGCTCTCCAACAAAATGCCACAGATTTTCTAATTGCTTTCTTTAGGTCCTCCCAATCTAATGCCATCACTTAGTGTTGTATGACCTTAGTATGTATTTACTTCTGATGGACATATTTTTTTTTCCCCACTACCTCTCAGCTTGTGATAAACTCTCCAGTTCTTGTCCCAGCTTCCTGTTCCTGTATACAGAACATATGTCAGAACTGGCTTAGCTGGAAATTAAAAGAAGAAAAAAAACCAAAACCAACAACAACAAAACCCCCCAAAAACTAGAGACATAAACTATAAAATAAAAAATAAAGAAGTACAAGCACCAACCCAGTATGAGCTTTAGGGTGTTAAAATCAAGATTTTGGAGATCCTAGAGTTTCAGTTGTCATGTAAGTGAATCTGAGATTTTATTTCCTTTTTTGCTGTTGTTGCTAATATAAATTTCTTTGGCTTGTAAAAGTTTCAACGAACCCATGGCTGTTTCTCATTAGTGGTGGCTGTCACTAAAATGAATATGTTGCTGAGTGTTCAGTTTCTGGGAAACGTGGTTGAAACACGAGCAGCTCTCTCGATGCAGAGCTCAGAGTCAGATGTTTTCAGAGGGGATGTTCCCCATTAAGTAATGACAGAGAACCATACGGAACACATTACAAATCGAAATACTGATTGATGAAGTGCCTGTGGTCAGCTTTCTACAGAAATGAGAATTTTGAACGTATTATCACGTCAGCATGGAATTGATCTCATGTACAATCACATTTTGTTTTCATTTCTTTTTTGCTTTACAGTCTCACACGTGTTGTTCCAGATCACGTTTATAGCGAGCAGAACCTCAGACTAAAGGAAATAAAGCATCAAGTTTGAGCTCTGATGTTTCATTGATTTAGCCAAGTTCACAGAAGCCAAATATGTCTGAGTTTGTTCACACAGCTGGTGAGCTATAAAGTCTTTCTCCCTATAGCAAACTTCTCCCCTCCTTCCAAGAGCTGGGAGAAGAGACTCGGAGTTTGCTGGAGCATGCAGACCTCGGGGAGGGAGAAGTGGGGTCACCTGGTCAGGCAGAGTGGCTCTTGTGTGAGATTGCATTTATCAGACTAAAAGCTCCTCTTTGTCTTCCCTAAAGTAGGTGCTTTCCATCTTCCACTTAGCTCATGTGCAGGGGTTCAGTAAGGAAAACCAACTGGTTCATGCTGACTTTAGGGCAAGATTGCTTGATTTGTTTGCATTCAAGTTACTTATTATTCTAGCTGTAAGTTCAGGTTTGTTTCATATATACAGTGACCTCTTCTGTTTTATACAGAAAGCAAACAGGGCTGAGTGTATGAAACCTGTGTACACAAATCTCAATGAATGCATGTCTGAGTTGCAGTGTATTTAAAGAAAAATATATAGTCAAATGGTAAAGTTAGAACCTTGGGTCAAGTAATCTAGCCCATTCCCCCCCCTCCCCAACAATTCTTAATTGGTGCTTCAGTAAAAGCATGAGCTAGAATAGACCTAGACACATATTTAGTGCAGTCTCATGAACACTTCAGTATTTCTCCTTTCTGAGATCCCAACATGAGATTATTAAAGGAGTAAGGCACATCAGGTGTGAGAGCTTGTCTTGCTTGTGCCTTTGCTAATGGAAACTCACTCAAGTGAATAGAGTTGCTTGGTTTACATTTGCACAGCTGAAGCCACGGCTTGGCCTAGGACCTAAAAGTTAGAACATAAGGGAAAAATAACAATCAAATGTCTGCTAACGTCTAGAGATGTGAACAGTGGACTGAATCTAAAATTAAAAACAAGGAGAGGGAAATATCAGACATTCATGTAAAGAACTTGGGTAAAATTTAGGGTCTATTTTTTCATAATCATTGATTTCAGGAAATTTGACCTGAATTTTTGGAATTGTTAAGAATGCAGAATCCTTAGCTGAGTTTTCTGAAAATTAAATCTTTGAGGCTTATAGCAAAAAATTAAATCTCCTAGCCCTCTTAAATACCTGTTAATGGTTGGGTTTTTTCCTAAGAATTAGCCACGGTAAACTGTCTTCCAGGGTTTTGATTTCTGCCCTTCAGAATTCTACAGATGTCCTTCAAAATGCAGAACAAATGTACCTTCCTGATAAGCAGTTTGTTACTTTTCACTTTGTGTTTATTCATGTCAGAAATGTGCTCTGGTATGTAAGGAAACAATAGTGTTTAAGTGCTTAATTATTTCAAAGGACAAATAAATGTGGAATAATATGAAGAAATATTTACAAGCAGCAGGGATATCAGATTTCAAGTTATCTGTAGCCTTCATAATTATTTCAATGTTCTTGTGTTATTAAAAATACAATGCAGATAATATAGTGATAGAAATTATGAGTAATTAGCTGAGATTCTACTGTCTTTCAGATATTTAAATCAGGAAAACTCTGGAAGACTTTTTGACAGTGATGGTTAATCTTTGGCAAGAGATACGGACTTTTGGTGGGGCTGAAGGGCTTTCTGGTAGGAGGAAGGTTGGGAGAGCTGAAACTGTCATTCAGATTGCCTTCTCATGTACAATTTTCTTAGCATACACAGACCCTGCAGCCTTTGTGGCTTTTCATCCAGCACTATGAGCTCAGCTCTCAGAAATGTTGCAGTTGTATTTTTGGTACTGTCCAGGAATTGCAAGTTTGAGCTTAGATCAGGCACAGATTAGAAAAGACTCATTGAGCTTTTATCTGGCATGAGGTTGAGATCTCATGAATCCTGTTAGTCCTGGAGGATCAAATATTCCAAAGTCCTCACTGAGACTGCTCCCCTAGCCCAAGATGAGAGCAATAGTCACAGTCCTTTCCTGAACAGGAGAGCATCTCAGGTGAGATGAGGGAAAGGCTGATGGTGCTTCCTCACACCTTGGGTGTATCTCAGGAGGACTGTCACTCCCATAGTACAGTTTGGCCTGTGATAGATGATTGAGGCTCTGGTGCCAGAAAGACTAATTATTATTGGACTGGGTGCACACATGCACGTTTCTGGCATTGTTACCAGTAGGTAAGTTTTGTGACTTCTAGGCTTGTTCTGCTCTGAGAGGAAGCAAGGGTGTGGCTCCTGGCTCCTAAAGCTGCTCCAGGCAAGGGCTGAGCAGGCTTGCCCTGCAGAGCCCTGGCTATGTGCCTGAGCTGCTCTCCTGAGCTGGAGCTAGCATTGATGTCAATGGGTGGTGAATAAACAGAGCTGCAGAGTGAGCTCAGTCAAACAGGTTACCTGCAGGCTTGGGCTCCCTTTTTTTCTTTCCAGCACTAGGCACCCTAAAACTGATAGACTACCTCAATGAACTTGAGGTTTTTCTATGGATCAGACAAAATAAGGAAATTCCTCTTTTGCCTTCCACTGAAAGTTTCTAAGCTTCTTCTGGGACCTAAATCAGAGAATTAGGAATCTAAATATTATTGAATTTATCTGCTTCAGAGCTTGGTTTTTTTTCCTGTATACACATGAATATAACAGTGTAGTTTTTTTCTCAGATAAAAATATTCAGATAGTATTACGTGAATTGCTATAGCTGTAGTTACCATTTTCCACAAGTATGGACAGAGACTTGCCAATATAATCATCACTAGCACAGATTTCTCTTTCATTATTGTTTCTTTTGAATGGCTGTGTTGGATTTTGTTCCTTTGTAGAGGATTACTTTATTTTTTTAAGTTGCCAGATCTTATGCATTTCAGCAATTCTAAAAAGAATATTTTCAAAATGGTCACGTAACTAAAGATTTTCTCTCTTTCTCAGATGTGACCTAGTGCTTGTATGTGGGCCTGGAAATGCAATTACCTGCCAAAGCACAGTGAAACTGGTGTGACACAGACCACTAAATCTTCTGACACTCTTTTCTCATATAGAAGATTTGGCACTAGTACAAGCATTTAGGTTACTAGTATGTGTTTTTGTTGAAAAAAATCCCAGTACAACAACAATTATAGATATAAAGACATCCTATGTTGTTTCTTCCCTGTACTGCTATTTCCTTTCTAGGCTGAAATAGGTGATACCACTCAGAGTACCAGTATAACTGCACCAATATTAAATGTTGTATTAACTATATCTGATATCTTGTTGAAACTTGTGACAGGTTCCGAAGTGCTAGTCTGTTCTGAAACTGAGATTTAAGGTCTAATTCCACAAAACTTCTTTGCTTTCCTTTTAGATTGGGAACTTTTGTCTGTTTGGCTCTCTTGGAAGACTTTTCTGTGATTATATTTATGTTGCCAAATCAGATTGGGATTCAGACTTCGGGTAGGACTTTGGGTGTTATTATTTTTGTTTCATTATAATGATAAGACAAGCATTAGGAACAGTGTGAATGAAGCCTTTAAGTAAGGCTTGAAGTTTTTGAAGCAGAACTGTTTCTCACCAGAAAAAAGTCTATACTAATGTTGTACTTCTTTATGAGACTTATTTTGAGCTTCCCTAGAATTTTTGAGGCAGTCATCTGAGATCTAAATAGCAAGGCTGCCTAAAAAGTAAACAAATCCTTTTAGATGTGGTGAGCAAATCAGACTGGATATGAGTTCCGAGAATGTACAAAATTAAATCTAGTTTAGCAGCAGAAATGTTACTGCACAGCGATAGCACACACGTGACTCATCCCCAGTGTCGCAACACCATTAACCAGAGAGATTGGCCACAGAGATGACTGTTCTTGGCCTTGTTGGGAATACCAGTAAGAAGCCTAACCACTGCTAGCTGTGCTCTTTTTTAACTCATGTGTTAGTCATATGCAGAAAAATTTATTCTCAATTAAGTCACACTGAGTAGCACCAAACCATTGCAGTTGCTGGATTTCCATGGGCACTCCAGGACACGTGAGGATATCCCAGCCTGGTGATCACATCTGGCAGTCAGAGAGCAACTTGAGATCTAGTGTGTCAACAGAAAAACTGGTTTGGACCCATGCTTCCTGGTCAGGATCATGTATTGATCTGCAGTTTCAGTCCTATTAGGTTATTGATTATGTAACACTAATCATTACTATTTTCCAGAGTGACGTGAGGTTTCTTCCACATTTTGCTTTTCTGGAGTGATGTGGGACACAACCCTCACCCCTCCAAAAAAATCCCCAGGCCTCTTTTTTTTTTCTGACCATATCACCTGTATGATGCAAAACTATATTTGCTAGAAGAATCAGAAGATACTGCAAAACCAATCATGCATTGTGCAGTTTTGCTTCTTTTTATCCCTCTCATTTTTTTTTTCTGAATTGTCTGATTACTGAAAAGCATTTAATACAAAAGGAGAGCATAAAGCAAAGGTAGGACTTTTCATTTGCATGGGGCCACCCAGCTCCCAAGAGATCTGAAACAAGAGGGCCCTTCTAAATCCCAGAGAAAGAGCATGTTTTTCTGTAAATGCTCTCACATTCTCTCTTGCTCTCACTTGCTTTAAAGCATACATCTGACACAAATTAATCTGCAGGGTTTTTAGTAATTTCCCATCCGCTGCTGGGGCAAATTAGACTTGCTGATGTTGTTTTGGCCTAACCCTGAAGCAGCATGAAAGGAATGGCCCAGAGGGAGAGCGAGCCTGTTCTCCTTGGCTCTTCTTCCATGTACTCTCCAGTCTGTTCAACAACAACAAAAAAAGTTCAATTGGCCTGAAAGGCACTGAAAACCCCTCTGTAGTACCTTAAAGGACCAAAATTACTTAATTAATGTGGAGACCATTATGTGAGGTTACCATATGAATGAGTAAGTGGACTGCCTGAGTTACAGAGCAGGAAAGAGGAAAGGATATCTGAGGTCAGACTTGTCAGGGTAAAGGAATCCTAAACAATGAGGGCATTGGTTTAAGATTTGAGGAAGAATTTGAAAAAAGAGCCCTGAGAGTGAAATTAAATGAAGCATGGGAGAGTATTAGTGGAGATTAGCAGTGCAGTGAAGGAACCCAGAGCAGACTGCCAATCGCCCCTAAGCACAGGCAGCTTTAACTGGGCTGATGCAGACAGGAATTAGGCTGTACTGGAGTCTGACTGAAAACTATTTTCTTGGGCAATGTTAAAGAGTTTTTCTTCCACATCCCCTTTCTTTTACTGACTTCTGAAAGTAAATGTGTCCCTGTCTCAGCCGCATGTGGGTTTTTTCTGCCAGGCACACTTATGACAGAAGCTGATAAAGCAGAGTCAAGACTTGAAAAGTACTTGGGCACTCTCAGTGTAAATGTGAGATTCACTTAGTAGCAAGGGATTGTCATTGCAAATGTGCTGCTTCAGATGAAGAGAGGACAAAGCATAGTGAAACTAACAAAATTAATGCCTCTGCTTATAGCTGAAGTCTGGGAGACATGTGCTTACATATAGATACTGGTTTAGTGAAAAGTAGACTATTTTTCTGAAACATGAGTACTTACAGTGCTTTTCACAGTTCTTTGAGGCCATTTAAAGGTTTTTCTCCTTGGAGTTTTTCTTATTAGTTCTAGTTTTCAGAAAGTAGTATCTATGATAGAACAAGTATCCAATAATGAGATGAAGGTGACAATATTTCGTAAGGTGTTAACTGCAGTAATTATTTTATTTGCTTTGGTTTCATTTGCTGTCTTTTTGAAACAGTACTCACATACTCTGGAATAAAAATCCTGACTCTTGCATATGAGTTCCTAGCGCTTGTCCTACTGCTATGACCAGAATTCTTGCTGAAAGCAAGGGGAAAGTGAATAATCTCTCTGAAAATACTTTTATTGTGTGCTTTTACAGAAGACAATAGACTAGATCTTGAGTAACATTTGCAAAACATCCAGAGAATCCCAAAGTAATACCTGCCAGAGCCTGTAGGAAGTCAGAGATCGTATTTAGACCCTGCTTTTCAGATATAACTAATGTCCCCAATTTACTGTATGGTTTGGGAGGACCTAAGAACTTTGGAGAACAGTAATTCGGTGTTAAATCCTGCTGTACTGTGATAACCAATAGCTGGCTGAGTATCTGGAAGAAGTTCTTTATTGTGGAGGTGGTGAAGCAATGGAAGAGGTTGCCCAGAGAAGCTGTGGGTGCCTCATCCCTGAAAAGTGTTCAAGGCCAGGCTGGATGGGGTTTTGAGAAACCTGGCCCAGAGGAAGGTACCCCTGCCCATGGCAAGGGGATTGGATCTGGATGGTCTTTAAGGTCCCTTCCAACCCAAACTCTGTTAATATGGATTAATTCCTGTCTTTAAAGAAGATGCACTGTATCTTTAGCAATAAGTAGACTAGTTAATCTTGTGTTTTACAGCTGTAAGTCTTTGACACTGAGCTTAGACTTCCACAGTAGCTCCTGACATTCTCTTGGGGCATCAAGGGAACCTGTGTGCCTAAAGTGCCTCTGGGTAATGGACTGAAATGCTTATGTTGCCTTGTGAAGAGTCTTTCCTAAAACTTCACTGGTGTCCCTTAAACATCTGGGTGAAGGTGGACCCTAATGGGGTGAAGGTGGACCCTGATTGTCAGCAATCATAGTAGTTTTCAAGTGAAAACTCTTATGTTTCACTGAAACTGCCATCTGGCTGACACTCTAAAATGGAGTGAATTAGTGGAATCCACACAAATATTACTTCATTGCATAAACTGCATTTCAGAAGCAGATTGGATGACATTTTCATGTTCCCCTTTCCAGCAATTGTTTAATTTCTCTGCAAAAGAATAATTTAAGTAATTGGAATTTTCCTGCAGGATAGGAAAAAATTACCCGCCTTATATTCCTTTCTTTTTTATTTTCCCATCTATTATTTTAATTGAAACCAACATTTAAAAAAAATATTAAATACCATTAGAGGCCTCCCATAACCAGAGATGTGTGGGAAATACTTTACTAACCTGCACAACTTTTGTGTTTTCCTAAACTTTCCTGTTCTGCTCTGAGACAAAACCAAGCTCCTTTAAAGGCAGGAGTACTCATGCTTGTGCTGCTACATGGGTGGTACCATTATGAGAGTGGTAAGCAACCCTCCAGAAGTTTCAGCTTCAAAATACCTCATTTTCTTCCCAGCCAAAGGAAAGGTTGATAATGAAAAGTTCCATGATTTCATTCTCTCTCCAGACTGAACAGGCATACTTGCAGTGCACTGCCCTTCAGCTGAGTGCTCTGCAGGTTAATATGAAGGCCATGAGAAGTCTGAACTTGGTAGGAATCAACAAAGATTGTGACCTCACATGCACTTAGCCCACCTGCCTTCAAAACACACCTTGCAGCCTGGCTGAGTGAGGACTGAATTCCCCTTGGGAAGCAGTGTTGCTTTGGGAGACTTGGGACTCACAGCCACCTGCTCTGTAGCTGTCATGCAGAACTTCACTGGGAGTTTTTCAAGCTAGGCCTGACTGGTATGTCCCACCTGCTCCAGAGGAGTTGTGTGTGAGGTGCTTCTGCCCTGCTTTGCAGAGGAGCTGAGCTCAGGCAATCAGCAGCAGGTGCAGCTGCGAGGCAGAACTACCTGTGGAGCCACAGACGAGGCCAGTCAATGATGGCATGTGAATTTGGACACAGCAGAAAGCTGCCAGGCAGACCTTCAGAAAAAAAACCCTAAAACCCTGGCCTAATGTATTGTGTGTGTCTGCACTGGGTTAGTATTTTTTCTTTTTCGGTTGTGCTGTTTTTTGTGGAGTTTCTTTTGTTTGTTTTGTTTTGTTTGTTGTTGTTTTTTTTTTTTTTAATTTTTTGCAGGTTTTTTTCTGTGGTTTTTTGGGGTTTTTTTGGCTTTGGGTTTTTTTTTTTCATAAAAAAGAAAATCACAACATATAAATAAGAAACAAAGATGAAGTTAAAGTGGTTTTGTTTAACTCTAGAGCTAAACAAGCTGACAGAAGAATTGCACACCCTCTAAACACCCTCTCCAGTTCTTCTGCTAACAGTAACATATGTGATGCTCCTGCTAATTTTGACTTGACCATGGTGTTACTCAATATGTTGTCCTGTACTGTAGCACTGACATACAACATTCAGCCTAAACAGAGTTAACAGATGAGTGTGACTTTCTGTGAACATAATGTATAATGGCCAAATTTTACAAAATATTAATCTATTCAGTACTGGAGGACATGTTTAGCTAAGAATATTTTTTCTATGAAATATGTTGCAGGTGATGTATTCCTTAGGAACAAACTACCACTGTTTCTCCACTCCCATCTGAATTACACATGGTAGTTTTTACTGAAAGATTTTTGTGTTATTTCAGACTTTAACCCTGATATTGCTTCTTCATGAAATGTAATTAAAGAAATCTTATTTCATTTTAAGGGTCTTAGCTAGTTCATATCAATTAGAAACACTTTGCCTTAGAGTCCACAAAGGAGAGGCTTGGATTTCTTAAACTTTCATGTCTTTTTCATGTGTGAACCACAAATATATTAACTTCCAATGATTCACAAATTAAGCTGATGAAAATAAAGGCAGGGAGGCTGGTAGCTTCATACTTTATAAGAGTGTGTGAAGGTTTGGGGGGTGGATTTATTATTTAAAATAATGGAAAACAGCCAAAATCAAGAAAAAATGAAGGACATGTGATATAAAAAAACTAGTTTTCTTTTAAAGGACTCTGAATAACTATTCCATCATTAAGATTCTTTTTAATGGCTGGTGCTCCTTCTAATTGGTCAATCTACTTAAAAAAGTATTTCAGTGCAATCATTAGCATAGAAAGCCTGATTGTTTATGCCTTTTGATCATTGATGGCTATCAGGGAAGAAGCTGGATTTTAATAATCTTGAGATGGATGTGTGGAGTTCTGCCTGCCATCCACGCTTCTTGCTTGTAACACTATATTCTAAGATCCTTAAGTTCTGTAGAGATATCATCTTATTTCCGCTCATCAAATGTTTTCATAATCAATGCCCTTTTTGTACTATCTGTTATGTGCTTTCCAGTGAGCTCCTTGGGAATCAAATAACTTAGAAGGAAGGGAGAGAGAACATGTTCCTTTTGTAGGTTGTGGGGACTATATATGTTGCGCCTTGGAGATAAATACTGGCTTTTGGATTTTTAATGATGTATCAGGCTTCCTCTGATTCAATGTGAATCGTTGTAGTGGCTAAATCATCTGCCATCTGGATTTCATCTCTTCATAGTTGACCCAGGTCAACAAGATCTACCAGAGTGTTGATAAAGGTATTTAAGCAAAGAAATGTATGCTCTGGTTTTGGTTTGGCAAGTTTTTTGGCATGTTCATTTGCTTTGAAAATTGAGAAGGAATCCTTTCAGGCGGAGCTTTCCTACAACATATCTACTGTTTCTAGCCTTGAGACATTGTTGCCTTACTGGGTTTTGCTTTTGGCCCTTCTAATGAGCCCGGAGGCAAGATGCACACTGTGAAGAACAACAAATTGTAAGTTTGCTGGTCTTTCAGTACCCAAAATAGTCCATGGCGTTTGTCATGGGCTAAACTCATTCTTAGCATCAGTGGGTGGTCTGATAGTGCGTGGTCCTTAGTGACACCTGGTAATAGAAATCCAAGGATAAGTAGCTGTTGACTCCCTCAAAAGCAGGGAGGCCCTACAGGGAGACATCAACAAATCAGAGGACTGGGCAATCACTAACCATGTGAAGTTCAACAAGGGAAAGTTGATTCTGCACCTGGGATGGGACAGCCCTGAATGTGCAGACTGGGGAATGTGATGCTGGAAAGCAGTGCCATGGAAAGGGCCCTTGGGATCCTGGTCGATGGCAAGCTGAACATAATCCAGCAGTGCCCTGGCAGCCAGGAGGGCTATTCATGCCCTGAGGGACATCAGGCACAGCATGGCCAGCTGGGCAAGGGAGGGGATTGTCCTGCTCTGCTCTACACTGGGGCGGCCTCACCTCCAGTGCTGGGGGCAGTTCTGGGTGTCACAATATCAGAAAGATATGAAACTATCAGAGTGTGTCCAAAGGAGGGCAACCAAGATGATGAAGGGCCTTGAGGGGAAGCCATATAAGTCTGTTCAGCCTGGAAAGAAGGAGACTGAAGGGAGATCTCATTGCAGTTACACCTTCCTTAAGAGTGGAAAAAGAGGGGCAGGCATTGATCTATTCTCTGTGGTGACCAGTGACAGGACCCCAGGGAATGGCCTGAAGTTGTGTCAGGGGAGGTTTGGACTGGATATCAGGAAAAGGTTCTTTCCTGAGAGTGTGGTTAGGTGCTGGAGCAGGCTCCCCAGGGAAGTGGTCACAGCACCAGCCTGACAGAGTTCAAGTGTTTGGACAATGCACATGGTGTGATTCTTGGGCATGGTGCAGTGCATGGCCAGCAGTCAAACTCTGTGATCTTTGAGTGCAGCTTATGCTATGGTTCTGTGAAATTCCTTGGAAAGCATAATCTTACTGTCAGGGATCTGTAATTGTGTCTTTTCTGGACCAGAACCAGCAAGATCTTCATACTTAAGAGATCCATTATGTGTGCACACATGAAGATGAAATTTTGATCTAGAGAGGAACTGTACCAGTTGTAGAGACCTGCTGCTGTCTTGGGCAGTAGCCAGCAGTAAAGCTGATTTTTA